ATTCTTCTTTATGGCTGAGTAATATTCCATTGTGTATATGTACCACATTTATCTGTTGAAGGGCATCTAGGTTGGTTTCATAACTTAGCTATTATGAATTGAGCTGCTATAAACATTGATGTGGCTGTGTTACTGTAGTATGCTGATTTTAAGTCCTTTGGGTATATATCTATGAGTGGGATAACTGGGTCAACTGGTGGTTCCCTTCCAAGTTTTCTGAGGAAACTCCATACAGCTTTCCAGAGTGGTTGCACCAATTACAGTCCCACCAGCAACGTATGAGTGTACCTTTTCCCCCCACATCCTTGCCAACATTTATTGTTACTTGTATTCTTGATAATTGCCATTCTGACTAGAGTGAGATGAAATCTCAGTGTAGTTTTAATTTGTATTTCTCTAAATGCTAGAGATGGTGAACATTTTTTCATATTATTTATTGACCAATTGTATTTTTTTTTTCTGTGAAGTGTCTGTTCAGTTCCTTAGCCCATTTATTGATTGGGTTATTATTTTTTTTTTTGGTGTTAAGTATATGAGTTCTTTATATATCTTGGAGATTAATGTTCTGAGATGCAGGTGGCAAAGATTTTGTTCCATTCTGTTGGCTCTCTATTCATTCTTGATTGTTTCCTTTGCTGAGAAGAAGCCTTTTAGTTTGATACCATCCCATTTATTGATTCTTGATTTTACTTCTTATGCTTTAGAAGCCTTGTTGAAGAATTCAGTTTGTAAGCTGACATGATGGAGAATTAGACCTACATTTTCTTCTAGCAGGTGCAGGGTCTCTGGTCTAATGCCTAGATCCTTGATCCACTTTGATTTGGGTTTTGTGCAGGGTGAAACTTAGAGGTCTAATTTCATTTTGTTACATATGTATTTCCAGTTTTCCCAGCACCATTTGTTGAAGAGGCTATCTTTTCTCCAATGTATGTTTATGGTGCCTTTGTCTAGTAGGAGATAACTGTATTTATGTGGGTTTGTCTCTGTATCTTCTATTCTGTACTATTGGTCTTCATATCTGTTTTTGTGTCAATACCATGCCATTTTTGTTACTATAGCTTTGTAGTATAGTTTATGGTCTGGTATTGTGATGCCTCCTGCTTCTCTTGTCTTAGTACGGATTGCTTTGGCTATTCTGGGCCTCTTGTTTTTCCAAGTGAGTTTCATGATTGTCAAGCCCTGAAATTCTTATTCTGTGGATTCAGATAGATCCCCTCTTTACTCATTTTACCACTGCTCTGAATGCAGACTTGTGAACTGAACTGGGAGGTTTAACTGGGCATCATCATTCAGCAGGTCATGGCTGTCCAGTCTGAGTGGTGGCTGCTCAGCTCTGGGCCACCCATCCTTTGACACACTTTCCCCAAGCTCACACTCGGTCCAGCACTGTGCTAGGCAGTTCACCTTTATACACCATTGGGACCTTAGAGCTGTCCTGCAAAATCCTGGGTCACCTCCCTGGCTCTCCCCAGATGAGGAAATGGAAGCCGAGAGGTTTAGTAAGCAGCTTGGTTGGGGCCAGTCTCCCATGAGCTTGCCCTGGGATCCAGAATCGGGGCATGCTGAGGAGCCCATTGAATCAAATGGCTAAGCCTCCAAACCCCCAAAGACACCGAACAAGCCCAAATCACCTGGTTTCTTGCTGGATCCCTGAGGGCTGCTGCTCAGTCACACGGATACCTTGATCAGATCTGAGGCCACTTAGGAACTTTAATTTGGGTGGGCTCAATTCTGGGCATGAGGCTGTCCTCTGGTGGTCACTCTGTTAATTGATTTGCTCAGATCATTTATTATTTAAGGGAAGAAAAGTAAATAAATAAATAAAAAGTCCTGGCTCTAATTGTCAATTGTTGGGGGAAAGAGAATTGAATAAGATAGTCTCTGCCCTGAGGGAGCTCACAGTCCGGCAGGGGAGACGGTTCCAGAACAGGGTGAAAAGTATAAAGCCAAGTAGAAGTATAGGGGCCAGAAGGTCATGAGAAAAAAATACTATTCATTAAGCACCCAATGATTAGGCTATCCCATTTAATACCCCACTAGCCTCAAGACACATAGGACTATCACTCTACATTTGGAGAACATCAAGCCCTGGAGATGTTTAGCTGGTAACTGGACCAGAACTCCATTCCGAGTCTTTTGCTCCTCTCTATTGCAGCCACAGATTGTCCCCATAGACTTGGGTAGAAGCAGTCTGTGTGCAGGGGCTGGGAACAGAGCCTTGACATAGTTGAGAGTCTCAAGCCACAGGGATCTGTCCATGAGTGAGGAAGACCTTCAAAGGAGACGGAGTCATGTTATAAGCCCCTTTGAAGGCCTCTAGCATATCCTCACCTTGCCTAACCAGAGAGGTGGACAGAGTAAGTGTCCAGGGTCATAAGTCCAGGTAGGACCAGAACATGGCATGAATCACAGGCCTCTTGGCTCCTAACCAAGAATTCTCCCCATGTGTAATAGGTGCCATAACAAATGAACCCCCTGCCCCTTTGAGGGTTCAACACGTCCATGGCTCTTTGTTGATACCCTAATGCAGGAATCTGTTCACACTGCAGTTTTCTAACAGGTTCAGGGGCACAGCTTAACTTCCATCTTGTGGCTGCGCCCTCTACACTGGGTCTTAACCATCTGTATGTGGCATGATCCTAGGAGAAGCTAATAAAACATGATACTTCTTCACCAGACGAAAATGCACATGTGCACATGCACCCCAAATTTTGTACACTTTCAAGGATTTCACAGAACCCGTGAATTCACATCTAGAATCCCAAGCAACCTTTGGGGTTAAGAGGTTAAAAACTTCTCCTTAGGGCCACAGAGACCCATGTCAGCTGGGAGATGGGGAGGAAGGTACAGAAAAGGCACAGTGACTTCTTAGAAGCCATAACCTCTGAACTCCACACCTTAACTGACATTTCAGTGGCAAAAATGACGTGACCCAATGTCCTTGGCACCTGACAATGCGACGCTGTGGAGGGGTTCAGGTTGTGGGGGACAGCACACTGACGGCTCTGCTGCCTGTGGCCACTCTAGGCAGGTGTGTGGGACGGTGACGGGATTCTCTCAGGACGTATTCACAGTCAGTCCTGTCGTGAGCCATTTGATACCCAGCCTTACCCATGATACTCCTTTCTCCTCCTTTCTTCTTCTCCAAAATCAGTCTGTTTTCGCTTCCTCCAGGCCCTTTGTCTGATCTTCTCAATGAAGCTACCTCAGGCCTTTTGGACTCACAGTGGTCACTGGTCACCTGTCACTTGGTCTTGACCTTAGGCAGCTCTTGCTGGTTAGCATGCCATAAAATGGATCTATTATTATTTTTATAATAATAATATTATTATTATTATTTTGGTTTGGTCCGGTCCCCCTAGACTGTCTCTCACAGACTCCAAGCACGTCTAGTTTCTCTCCCTGTCCTTTGCCATATCCTGCAGAATGGTCAGGAGTCCTCAAAGCAGCAGGCCAGTGTAATGATGCTGATCTCCATGGGCTGATGGGGAAACAGAAGCTCAGAGAGTTGAGGGAAGTGACCCAGACCCATAGGTTATGACAGTGCTCCACCTTGGCTCCAGGTCCTCCAACGAATGCCCATTCTTCCCAAGCCACCCTGCCCACACCTTCCGCAGCACAGATCCGGGTCCATGCTTGGTACCATGGGCAGCTTTCTGTGCCAGGGCTGAGACTCCGGAGGATGCAGTGCCTGGGGCACAGCGGGTGCTCTGCAAATGTGTTCGAAGGGTCAGTTCATTCAGGGGAAAGGAGGCTTCCGTCCCCTCCAATTTCCACTCTGCTCAACAGTCAACCTCTCCTTAATATCATGGGTGGGGGTAGATTTAGGCACAGGAAGAGTAGTGGCCGATAAGACAGGTATCTCTGTCTCCTGGTACCAGGCACTTCTCAGCCCTGGAGGCAGTCAAGGCTGAACTCCAAGGCAGCCCTGAGCCAGCCGGCGTGGACGAGCCAGCCATCCAGTCCTGCCCTGGGTGATGGGCTCCACGTCCTGAATTCATTAAACTGCAGACACCAGAGTACTGTGATTTCCCTTAATTAATTAAAATATCACATAATAACCATTCTCTGATTTAATGTTCAAGAGGCCCAGGCAAAGGCTGGGAATGAGGAAATTCATTAGAGGAGACTCTGCTGCCGACTGATTCGCTCGTTCTTATTCATTGTCCCTGTATCACCCATCCCTGGGGGAGAGGGGAGAGCAATGTTTTTTAAAGACATAGGAATTAATTTCACCCTGAAACCTGAAGGAAAAATCCACCTTGACTAAAAAACCAGCCGTTTTTTGGTTTAAGGTAAAAAGTGGGTACATTTGGGCAAACACTCACTTAAGGATTATTGCAGACCCTCCTATCCTTACGAGAGTGAACACCCGAAACTATGGAGTGTACCAAAGCCTCCATATACTGTGGGTTTCCTATATGTACAATATATGCCTACAATGTTGAATATAAATTAGGCATAGTAAGGATTAAAACAATAACATAATAAAATAGAACAGTAGTGATATGCTATAATAAATGTTATAAGAATGTTTGTTTTCTCTCAGAATATCTTACTGGGCAGCCGGACAGCCAGGCAGCCAGCTTCAAAAAGGCTCTTGGTATGTCGTGGACCACTGGCACCTGGGCATGTGCCCTCCCTTCCTGGCGTCTCACAGCCTCCAGGCTCCTGGAGAACCCTGGGTCCAATCCCTGATACAAAATCATCATCATAAAATTAACTTCAGTGAGTGAATGGAATATTAGAATGCTTGTATAGCTGGACATGCAAATTCAGGGGGCCTTAGAAGAATCCATAGTGTCAGGGGTTTAGGGCTGGTGAAAAATTGCAAGTAAGGGGGGCAGGTATGAAGGGTAAGGAGGGTTGGACTGAAGTAGCTGATGTAAGCAGGGAAAAATAGGACAAGATGCAGGAGAGATGGCCGAGAAGTGTCAGTGGGACCTGGAGTAAATCTACAGCCACAACCTAGGACAGAAACCACAAAGACCATCCTTAAAAACATTTATTTTCAGTGTGCAGGAATTGGGACATCATGGCATCTATGAAAATATGGGTAGAAGACAGGCTTGACAGGAGGGCTGGGGGAGGGGATCATGCTTCACGTTCTAGGTCTGAGAAGAGGTCTGGGCTCTCCCAGGTGACAAGCCATTAAGTTGGAAAATTATGTTAATCTGCTTTTTGGGTCCTGGTGAAAATTTCGGACAATACAGCATTTATTATTTTATTTATGTTTGCACGTAGATATATGTTAAATCCAGCCCCATGCGGTCAGGATACTTGGCTTCCACCATGGGGCTCCATCTGCCCTATTTTCTGGGTCTAGATCCTGCTGTCTAATTTTGACAAGGCAAATTTGAGGTGATTCATCTGATTTTGCAGAATGTGCGTGTTGTTAGGTGCATGATATGGTTGGGCTACCTCTCCGGAGCCACTGTGTCCCTATTTCTTCTGACATAATCTCACTAAGTGTCTGGCTGAGTCATCTCTCAGCCACACAGTTCATAGGGAATCAATGGCAGACCCTAGTCACAGTGCAAGGAGGGGAGACGGGCAGGAGGTGCCCAGTGGGGAGGGGATGTGAGCAGGTCCCTTGGCAGCTCCAACACCCCATAGCCAATAGCAGCCAATTCAATCAACTTCAAATCTGACTTCATTCAAAGAAGGGGTCCCGATGTTGCAAAGTTTGAAAATCACTCATCTGGTTTCCAGAAGCTTCCCTCCTAGGATCCGGTGTGTCTTTGTCTGTAACAGGGGCGGGACCTTTAATTTCTGCCCTGCTTACCCTCCTAGGGTCAGGATCATGGGTGGGAAGGTGTTTCATGGACTTGAAGGGCTGTCCACAGTGGGAGATCCAAATTCTCATGTTCAGAAATTGTAATCACCTAGAAATATACTGTTTTGGACCAGATAGTAAATATTCCCCTTTTTTCATAAGGAAAAAAAAAGCTTTATCCTTGAGGGAGGTCAACACGTCTCTAAGTAAAATGTGTTGTACTTCACCGTGACTCCACAGGCCAGAGCTGACCCGGCCCCCTTTCAACAAGGTGAGGTTAGAAGCCAGGCCTGCACTGCCACCTACTTAGGGAGGGATGGGCTAACAAGTGGATGGCTTGGTCCCCAAACACCAGCCAAGGGGCTTCTGAGTCCAGAAGACTGTCCATCTAGGACTAAGTCTACTTAGAATTGGAAAAAGGCAGGAGGAGGAGAGCCGTGACAGCTGTACGTCATTCATCTGCATGAGCACACTCTGTTATGAGGCCATGATTTGTTTTTGAAGGAACATTATCTTAAAAAACATGCGAGGACTATACTTCTATCTATCTCTCTATATTTTTTTTTTTTTTGCATGGGACCATCTTGCTCTAAGATGGAAGGGCTAGAAGGGGCCCTGGTAAGTAATATCTAGTCCAAATGCCACAATCACAGGTGGAGAGACCAAGGTCCAGAGAGGGGAAAGGACCTGTTCAGGTCACACAGCAGGCCAAGGAGAGCCAGGGCCCTCTTCTCTCCTTCTTATCACACATTAAGTCACAGAGTGCCCACTTATCAGTCATAGACTCCGAGGTAAAGAGTCACAGTGGGCACATGCCTTGTTGTGAGCCCTTTAGAATGACAAATACTATGTGCTTTTTCCTGGGAGGGAACAGTTACAAAAGGATTCATTCCCAAAGTGTAAAAAAAGCAACATGCACCTCTGTTTCCCCACTGTCTGCCCTGCTAAAAACTACATCTGCATATGAATCTAGTTTGCATCCAATTTTAAAAAACATACAAAAGGGGTTATCTACAGACACAGTTTTTTCCTTAGTCTTCCCAAACAACAAGATCCGGGACTCGACTTCGCCATCATCCCGTGATCAATGTCTCGGAGACCCTGGAAAGAAAAGGGGAGTGGGGATTAGAGAAAAGAAGACTGTTCTGTTACGACCAACCCTGTGTTTATTGGGAAGTGGAGGAAATCATCTTTAAATTCAGTATCCTCAGCACAAAAGGTGCAGATGGAGGGACTGGGAGCCTGAGAAGGGCTTCGTGGGGCTGCCTACCCAGGTGTCAGTCAACCTGCTGACAGTGGACATCATGAAGATAGACTCAGCCGCCTGAAACCTGACCCCTTGCCTCATTTGAATAGCTTCTCCTCAATAAAAGGGGTCAGGGTGTGTGCTCTCTCTCTTTCTGTGGACCCTTAAGGTCAGAGGAGCCGTCACAGCAACCCCAAAGAAAAAGGTATTTGTGTCTCTTGTGTGGTTATTTCGTGCAGCCCAGTCAGCCCAGTTTAACTAGAGTGACCCCTGAGCATTTTAGTCGTGAGAACAGAAACCCGGCAGGTGATAGTGAGCTCTGTGCTCCTGGAGGCCTGTGAACAAGAGCTGCTCCATACTGCACGGTGTCAAAGGAACACAAAACCTCAAAATGAAACAATGTGTGTATTATCTATATGGCATATATTATTACAATGCATAGAATAACCTATTTTATATAGATGGATAAAATAAGAAGTCAAGTATCAGGAAGGCCTGATTTCCTAACTCTTTGCTGAATTCTTACTTCATGGTTACACTTACACATTTTCTTAGCCATTTCTGGGACCTCTAACTGCCCACAGACACCTGCCCTTGAACCCTAAAGCACTTCCTTCCTTGTTTGCCCCAGTTCTGGATGTTTCTCCTGCCTCAAGCCCGCACAGCTCCCCTGTTCCCTTAGCACTCTTCCTGATACCGTAATAATGTTCACTTTACATTTTTCTGTGCATCCCCTACAGACCTGATGTAAGGCCTTGCACACAGAGTGGGTGCAACAGCAGAGGCCGAAGGCATTGTGTGGCTCAAGCCACAGCCAAATCCTTCTGCTCTTGTCCATTTGGGTTTTATTGGTACTGGATATTTAACTTGGGGTGCTTGACCACTAAGCTCCATCCTCAGCCCTTTTTGCTTTTTATTTGAGTTGGGGTTTTGCTAAGTTTCCCCAGCCAGCCTTGAACTTGTGATCCTCCTACCTCAGCCTCCAAAGGCACTGGGATTACAGGCAAGCATCGCTGCACCCAGCAAAATCCTTCTGCTTTTAAGAGACTCTGTCACACTTGTCTCTAATTTTTCCTGCTCTATCCAGACCCTGTTGGTCTGTCTTAGTAATGGAAGCTGTTCATGGCTCTTCTTCCCTCCCTGCATTGTAAGGAGGCAGGATGTGTATCACATCTGAGCAGAAACTTCAAAGGAGACTGTGTGCTTGGCCCAGCTTCTTGCTCGTCCCTTCTGCTGCAGAGTGGACATATTACACGTTGGGGCTGCTCCTCCAGCTGGGTTTGGTTTTTGGGGCGGTGCAGGTACTGGGTGAGGAGACATGGGGTGGAGCCACAGCAAACACGGATCAGTGGCGTGGAACGTGAGCAAGAGCTAAATGTTTGTGGCTGTGAACCAGCCAGGTTTGGGAGTTGTTATATAGCAAAAGTGGGCTAATTAAAGTGATTCATTTCCCAAGTTCACAGTTGCCTGTGGGCAGGGGACAGATGTGACCCCAGCTGTCACCTGTGTGACTAGGAAGACTAAGCCACCTGGTTAAAAAGAGATGCAGAGATCCTGCCTACCTTCCCCTTCCCCCTGAGAGCCGTTGCTAAGCAGCGTACAGGGCTGGGGCCAGCAAGACAAGCCTGGAGCTGGAGGGCTGTCCCACAAAGCGTCCTGGGAAGAGGCAAATGAAGCCTAGCAGCCTTCTCTGCAGGAACGTTTCCACCTGGATGCCGTCACAATGACACCGTCTGCCCTCTCTCAGGGCTCAGTGGAAGTATTCCCTCCAGCCTCAGAAACTGAAAACACCACTGGCTTTTCCATCTCATGGACACCCATCATGTCCATGGCTCTGGGCATTGCATGCTGGGAAACTCAGAGAGCAACATGTGCAGAACATAACAGGGGGTCCGCCTGCTAATCTTCACACGGCCCTGCTTTCCTCTACTCTCCCCACTTATGTACTGTTCTCTTTATATTACACATCTAATGACTGCCTCCGATCCCTTAGACGTGGGCGTAGGGACACTGCAATGACTAGAATGTATACATTACCCCATCACAGGAGGCCTGCTGGAGCGGGGGAGAGGGAGCTTCTGTATCTATTCAGATCCAGGACGGTCACTGTGCCGTGGGACCTGGCCTCCCCGACCATGTTGGTCGCATGACACTGGTACACTCCTTCGTCTTCCTTTTTCAGAGGGTTGATCTAGAAATACAACAGACATGTTTAGATAGTTGTATGTAGTAGACAAAAATGACTTCCTTTTTTTAGTTTTGTTTTTTTTTTTTGGGGGGGGGTGCAGGTACTGGGGATTGAACTCAGGGGCGCTTTGACACTGAGCCACATCTCCAGACCTTTTTATTATTTTGTTTTGAGACAGGATCTCACTAAGTTGCTGAGGCTGGCCTCGAAATTGCAATCCTCCTGCCTCAACCTCCCAAGTTGCTGGGATTACAGGCATGTGCTATTGCACATGGTTCCCTTATTTAGTTCTTTTTTTTTTTTTGGTACCAGGAATGCCACTCAGCCACTGAGCCACATCCCCAGCCCTATTTTGTGTTTTATTTAGAGAGACAGTGTCTCACTGAGTTGCTAAGTGCCTTGCTTTTGCTGAGGCTGGCTTTGAACTTGCAATCCTCCTGCCTTAGCCCCCTGAGCACCTGGGATTGCAGGCATGCACCAACGCAACCAGCCCTTATTTAGTTCTTAATGGTATGGCCGAATACTTGCTCCTCTTTAGAATAAGACCAAGCTATTTCTCTTCTTGCTTTGGCTGCCGAAGAGCACACAGTGAAATTCATTCTTCGGGACCCTCTTGAGGAGCATGCTCCCGATTGTGACTCTCATTCTAATGATTCCTTTGCATTGTACATAAGCTACTTGACCCTTTTATTGAAGGTGACATATACAAATTATGAGGAATATACTGCAAACAAAAAGAACCAAAATCTACTGTCCAAAGAAGGACCCCATAGCATGATCCTTATGTGGGTGACCTTCACAAAACACCACCAGATATAACCTTTCCCCATCTTTCCTTGTAAGAAAATGAGGGAATGTGCACTGCATTCCGAGTCCCTCAGCTAAGTGAAGCATCACCAAACCTCCCAGGGCTATGGAGGATAAGACTTCCTCGCGGAGTGTCCCTAAGTGCTCACCACCAGATCCATAACCGGCTCTCATCTCTTGCGCTTTCTCTTCCAATCACTGCTTCTATCTCTCGCAAACCAGGCTACGCACACCATCCCCCTCTGAACACACCAGCTGAACATTTTCAGCAAGTGTTCGGCCATACCATTAAGAACTAAATAAGGGCTGGTCGCGTTGGCGCATGCCTGCAATCCCAGGTGCTCAGGAGGCTAAGGCGGGAGGATTGCAAGTTCAAAGCCAGCCTCAGCAAAGGCAAGGAACTAAGCAACTCAGTGAGACACTGTCTCTAAATAAAACTAGCATCATTTTCAGGCCTGCTAAGGTCACAAGAAACTGAGGCTCAGATAGGATAACTGTGACTATTCAACATGGACCCCTAGCTCCTTGCTCCACCAGCCTTTGAAACATATGGCATTCCCTTATTTTAGCAAAAATGCTGCAAGTGACATAATAGAGCCCTGCAGGAGGTCTTGAATGTGCCTCTTCCCTCTATCAGTCACATGGGTGTATTCGTTTCTCAAGGCTGCTGTAACAAACCGTCCTAGGCTCGATGGTTTAAAGCTACACAAATCCATCATCTATAGTTCTGGAAGTCAGAAGCCCAAAAGAGTCTCAGTGAGCTAAAATCAAGGTGTCAGCAGAATTCTTAAGGTCCTAGGGGAAAATCTGCTTCTTTGCTTTGTACAGCTTCTAGAGGACAACAGTGCTCCTTGGTTTGGGGCCCATCCTCCATTTGCAGGGCCAGCACTAGTGGGTACAGTCCTGCACATCACACCACCCTGATGCTGCCTCCCTTGTCCTCATTTAAAGTCTCACCTTTAAATTGGGCCCATTGGGTAATCTAGCTTACTCCCCTCCCCTTTGTTTTGGGGTTCTGGAGATTAAACCCAGAGCCTCCTGCATGCTAGGCAGATGCTGCACCACTGAGTAATACCCCCCTAGCTTTTTATTTTTTATTTTGAGATAGGGTCTCACTAAATTGCCCAGACTGGCCTTGAACTTGCAGTTCTCCTGCCTTTAGCCTCTTGCATTGCTGGGATGATGGGCATGCCCACTTCCCCTGGCTCCTCATCCCATCTTAAAGTTGGCCATTTAGCAACCCCTCCCCCTCCCTGCACTTTAGGACAAAGACATCTTTTGAGGGCCACAGCAGCAGACCTCTTGTGCTCTCAGGAGGTACACAACCTGCCCCACCCACCTCACAGCCACTAGATGGTCTTGTGAGCAATGGATAGAAACAGCTTTGAAAAGGGTAATGTGTTACCCAAGGATCAAGGGTGCTCCATAGGGTGAGTCAGTGGCACCCAATAATCCTAAACACTCACCAAAATCCAGGCTGTGGCCTCATGGTTGGAAGCTCGCACCTGGACAGCTATATTGGCATGGTCCCCAGGTAACTCCTCCAGCACCTCAGTTCCATCAGGGGAGTGTGTGACCTACAGAGCACGCAGAAAACATAAGCAGTGTAGAGAGAGGACTTCTGGATCAGGACACCTCGCAGACATCCTCGCCACCCGCACGCTTGCTCTCACTGTCTAAAAGGCTGAAACCCTAATACAGCTCATTCCTAAATGTGCGTAGAGACAGCACCCCCTGCTGGACATCACCACACATCACCACTAAGGCGGCCACAGTGGCAGAAGGAATTCTGCTGGTCTTATTACTAAGAGGGCTGCAGAGACAAGGGGACAGACGACAAAGCTGACTGGTCTTTAGGAAGATTTGGGTTTGGAAGGGGATTGGGGCTTCTGCCATCAGCCAAGCCTGCCAACCACTTAGCTCCATGGTGAAGCAGGGTCTTGGGTCCTAGCAGTTGATGTGGGATAGGTGACAGCAGAACTTTCTGGACACCTGAGGGACCAAATGGCACAGGAAGGATTGCAATCCCACTCCCTTCTCCGGAGAGAGTGCTGTGGTGAAAGTTTCTGAGGCAGAAAGTGATATACAAAGTACCTTTTCCTAATCCTCTGGCCCCCACACAAAGATATACACACATAAACCACTTAAAGAAAAAATACTTCCCACCCACACCTGCCTGGCAGTTTCCATGTTTGTCTCTCTGGCACAGACACCAACACACACACACACACACACACACACACACACAATGACGCACAAGTCTTGGAGAGAAATAAATACCTTCCTCCATGTGATGGTTGGGGTGGGCACGGCCCTCACCTCACAGGACAGGTATGCCTGTGCCCCAGTGACATTGTGAACACTCCGGGGTGGCAGGATGACTGCAGGAGCTGGGAGAAGAAGACAAGGGAACACACCCTTTACCCTGGCAGGTCCCAAGCACCCCACCTCCAACACCACCCTGCCTGCTGAGGGCCTGGCAGGACCCTGCCCTGCGCGAGGGATCATAGATGGGTGCTCTCTTCAGACCTGGAAGGTTCTGCTGCTCTTGTGACCTACTGCCATTGTTTCACCACCAGGAAGCTGGCAACTTCCCAAGCTCAGTGGCAGAGCCTGGGTCTCAGCATACCCCCTCCCCGGCCCCTCCCTGGCTGCCATCTGCTTATTCAGCTACAGGATGGGGGTGACGGACTCCAAGAGCACCAATGTCACATCACCGACGGCAGAGACTTCAAGCAGATGGGCGTTTCTGTTTCCACGTGCAGGGTGTTCCAAAGGAGAATGCCATGCCCAATGGCTGCCACACCCTGGCGCTGAGCCCTGCCGTCCACTCCAGATGCCTCTGTCTGCATGGGCACCACATAGACACCATGGACTCCCCGGCCCCAAGTGCAGACCTGGAAACCCAGAGGTCAAGGGAGCAGAGCCAGAGCTACTCAGAAAATGAGGCAATGCCACTCTAGGTTGCCATAATATTACAGGGGGAGGGGGAAGGTGGGCTCTCTGGAGGGGACCTGGGAGCACCCTGGCATCAAGTTACAAACTGTTAGTTCATGCTCCACGCCCTGCTTCCTCCTGCCCCTAGCTTCTGCCCCCACTGGGCTGTGTAATACCCAGTCCAGCCTCCTCGGCCTTCAGACCCCCATCCAGCCTCCCCCCAGTGCCCTGCTTTCCCTCCAATGGGATACACCCACCCCCACAGCTCCCTGGGTGGGCATCTCCCCCAGCCCACAGGGCCTGGCTGGGAACTTCACCCAGGACCAGGGGCTGCACCTCTTGGCTCTGCTGAGTCACAGCTGGCCTCAGAGTCCAGGTGTATCTCTGCAGTCTCACTTGTGCCGATGGCCAGCTCAGCACCCTGGCATCCAGCCCAGGAGTCCTGGACAAGGTGCAAGGTGAAGGCCTGGCCAGTGAAATGCTCTTGGCTCAGGCCTCCTCTTCTGTAAAACGGGGATAACAACTCTGCTCCCAGACTGCTGAGTGGGTCTACCCATGGAATGAGTGACAGAGCGAGACACAGGGGACGGGGCTCAGGTCTGGCCAACTGAGGAGACTAGATGAAGAAATCCCTGGCAAAGAAAAGAACAAATTCTTTCATTCCAGGGCCATCAAACTACAGAGGCTTGGTGACTCAGAGACAACCCTGGTCTCCACAGGCTGCCCTGAGAGGGGACAGGTGCTTGTGCAGTAAAAAAGGAGAACTAAGGGAGAGAGAGAAGCAGGCAAGAGGCTGGGCTGGTGCAGAGATCACCGGAGACCACCTGCCCTCCTCGGAGGCTCTCCTGGTAAAAAAGCTCATCCTAACCTGGAGCTAAACCTGCGTCTCTGTAATGGCCACCTGCTGACCCCGGGACTGCCCTCCGGAGCCCACAGCCCCTGGGTGCCCCACAGCTCTCCAGGGACTCCCCTCCCCTCCCAGGAGGCTCCCCGCCACTCCTCTGCCAGGTCCGACTGCCTGCCCTGTGAAGGACCACCCCAACCCACGTTTACCCAGGAGCCATGGACTTCTATCCTGCCCCCAGCCACACAGAGTCCCACATCCAGGCTCGCTGGCAGGGACCCCATCTGCGATGACAAAGAGGCTAATTTATTCACATCCTCCTGCCAGCGCCTCCTCAGCCACACAGGCGCTGGGATGCCACCTTCACCAGAGCCCAAACCTGTCCCCAAAAGTCTCACTGCGGGAACAAACAGAACCGCCTCTTATTCCAGAGCCCCCAGTAGATTCCAAGGGGACGCTCCATCACCGTGTTTCACTTCCATTCATGTAAAGTCATAAATTTTAAATGAGATTTCATCACTCCCTTTCAGGCCTAAATGAATAAACCAGCAAATCACATTTCCTCTTCCTCTCTCCTCGTGTTTGACCCTCCCTCTCTCCAACAACGACAATTAAGGAAGACTGCCTTGGCAATACTGGGTCTGCCTGGATTTCATGGCAGGAAACACCATTTCTTTTTACAAAAGAGACCCCACTCAAAGGAACATTGAACAATGATTTATTCATAAATTTGCATGTACGGACAGGGCATTCTTCTTGGTGCGTGGTTCACAGTTTTGACAAAGGCAGGCAGTCAGTTAACTCCCAAGATCCGCAACCATTCCATTATCTCAAAAAATGCTCTCATGTCGTGCTTTGCCATAATCATCTGCTTTTAATTGTAACATGGTTGGTTTTAAAACTGAAGACATTTTCATCTATAGCAGCTCTTCATAGTCAATAATATTCTCAGTAACAATGGTAATGACGACCGGCTCAACGTGGCATTGCTGTGTGCTGAGGGCTCTTCTTTTACAACCAAGCACTGAGGGGTTCATCTTTCCAGGAATCTTCCCGGTTGCCAGATGGGGGCACTGCTCAAGCTGCCCATATATGTATTTCTTTCTTTCTTTGGTACTGGGGATTGAACCCAGGTCACCTAACCACTGAGCCATATCCCCATTTTTTTATATTTTATTTTGAGATAGGGTCTCACTAAGTTGCTTAGTGCCTTTCTAAGCTATTGAGGCTGGCTTTGAATCTGAGATCCTCCTGCCTCAGCTTTCTGAGTTGCTGGGATAACAGGCTTGTCCCATCGTGCCTGACTCCATTTTAAAGTGAAACATTTGTTATCTGTATGGACTCCATTCTACAATGAGAGATTAGTTATTTAGGGGTTGTGCTAGGGGTTCCCAAAAAGAACCCTCAGGTCCAAAGTTTTACTAGGAGGATTCCTAGGCTCTGACTGATTTCAGCAAAGCATAAAAAGCAGATCACCAAAGGGCAATGTTATGACGTGGGGGACCTATGCTCCTAAGAGCTCGTTCCTTGGGGTTGCACTGGACACAGCCATGGACAGAGAAAATGCATATGATGCACTGTGTGCCCTGAAAGCGCACAAGGGACTGTGCCCTTGCTTGGACAGTCCCAGTCCCCGTTATTACCCTAAATGTATGACATGGGGATGCTACCAGAGGCAGGAGGGACAGTGTGCTAGCTGGGACAGAGGAACCCTGCTTTGAATTCTATCTGTACCATTCCCAGTGTCATGATTTGGCCCTTCCCCTTTTTATTTATTTATTTGTTTGTTTATTTGTTTATTTAGTAAGTACCAGGAATTGAACCCAGGGGTGTTTAACTACAGAGCCATACCCCTAGCCCTTTTATTTTTTATTTTTGAGACAGGGCCTTGCTAAAAGTTGCTGAGGCTGGCCTCCAACTTGGGATTCTCCTGCCTCAGCTTCCGGAGCCACTGAGATTACAGCTTTCTTTAGAAAGGGCACAGGAGGCCCTTTATCCCCTTGCCCATTCCTTGTGGGCTGCTGTGAGAAGAAAGCATTCCAAGACCCCCACAAACTGTAAAAGTTTACAGAGGGATCCAAAGTTGTGGCCGGCTGTCTTATCTCAGGGGCGGACTCTTCCATGGTGCCTGGCCTGATTGCAACCCTCTGCTGACTACTGGTGACAGGGCCCATCAGGGTTCTTCCTGGAGGCACCAGAGGCCATGACCCACAGCCTTCACCCTGGCACCCACACATCCTCTCACCTTACCATTGCCAAAACCGCCATAATCCCTGAAGAACCAGGTCTTTCCTTCCCACCTACTTTTGACAAGAATTACGTGACCCTTAGGAGGGAGGACGGCACCTGGTCAGCCCAACCCCGGTGACAGCTTCATCTCTTTAGCTCCTCCTTGCTCAATGCTTCTGTCCTTCTGCTCGTGCTAACAATGGTCCTAGAAATAGGGAGGGCACAAATCCACCCACCCAAAGGCTAACCAGCAGGTAACATGGCTAGCCACCGGGTGCGCGTGGTCACAGAGGGCAGTACCATAGTGTGGGCAAACAGAAGCCAGGGAGACTCAAACACTTGGGGACCAGGTGCCGAGCATTCAGGACTGGGCAAGTTGCTAGCCATTTCCTCCCTGTGTGCAAATGAAGAAAGCGGCCGCTGCCACACCCTCTGGGGGGCAGGCAGATAATGGATGTGACCGTGGGGATCTGCAGAGATGAAAGGGATCAATATTATTATTATCGTGTGTGGTGATCTGTCTCCCTAGCCCGTCAATTAAATGGGTCCTCGATGGCTGGAATAAAAGATCTTCTCAAATGCCTCTGAGATTTCTTTAAAGTTAATGGTGCTAGGGAAAGAAAGAATATCAAAAGTCATCCCCCAGGTCTCATCTGCTTGTATTAAGAAGTGCACAACCAAAGAGTTTAATCATCAACGCACTGAGCAGCCCCGGTAATTTATGCTAATAGTCACTATAGGAAGTGGAACAGCTTAATCCCGCTCCCTGCAGCCCGTGCCTCAAATCCCCTCCCTTGGCAATGAAAGGCTTTTGAACATGAGGCCCCTTTCTTTGTCCCTCTCACAAAGTGGCATTCGCTGCCTCTTCTGGTTACCTGGTAACACTACGGCGCCTTGGGTTTCTAAGTGGAGCTGGAATTTCAACCAAGGTGAATTTTCTGAGATTCAGGATCTCAAGAGCTCACTGCCGCCGCAGGGGCTTCATACACTGCAGGCAAGAGATGGATGGCAGGGAGCCACAAGGAGCCAGGCAAACCTGGGCTGCCTTCAGCTGGGGTAGCCAGGTGGCTCCAGGGAATTCCCTTCTGCATGCCTCAGTTTTCCCTTCTATTAAATGGGAGTGAGCCCTCTCGAATGAAAACAAATTTATTTGCAGAAACGCAGTAAGAAGATGAGTGCGAAAACAATGTCCAACAGGAAAGAATTATTTATACATGAGCCTTTAATCATTGTGTGGATCACAGGATCACTGTCATTTTTAGGCAGTTTGGGGCATTTCAGAGCACAGAAGGAAAGAGCAGCATTTAAGTCCCCAAACTGTTTCCCACTGGCTCTCAGGGGCATGTGTCAGACACTTTTCCACACTGGGAGGAGCCTAATTAATACTTAATAACGCCTCACTCTGGTCAAGTTAAGGGTGATTTTCTCACCAATATTAAAGCAGAACAGCTCAGCTCCGACTCCTGTTTTCCTTCAACCAGGGTCCCCAGGGGCATTGTTAAAAAGTGCTCCTGCTGTGTCTTCTGAATTAAAGATGGCTTTAGGGCAGCACAGAATGAGGTGTCACAGCAGCTAGGAAAAGGAAACATCTCCCTGTCTACACCTTCAGGCCTTACCAAGACACAGGCACGGTGGGGGTGGGGGTGTCCCACAAGCAAGTCAGCACAGAAGGTGACAGGGCACGGGTGTCAGGTCTGACGGTGTATGACACAAATGCTGGTGGGAAGGACAGCTGAGCTCGAGAGCCAGGACGCCTGTCACTGATGAGGTCATGAAAAGCAGCTTCTGAATTGCTCCCGTTTGGCCCCAAGTACATCTTTATTCCTGGGGACTGAGCCTGGGGAGGGCCTCAGAGTCCATAGATCAGAATTGAGAGGCTGTCACATTTACTTGTCATTTGGTAATTTTCAATGAATTAGGGGTATGGGGTTTCCATCTGCCATCTGTCCTTACTCTGGTAACCATGACAACCACCATCTGCCTGACTATCAAGTCCTGTCCTGAAAGAGCAGTGGATAGGGTGTCCCTGGGAGCTAGTCAGCCTTCACTGGACATCCTGGACAAGTCCCCTGCCCTGGTTGGGTCTCAGTCTCCTCTGCATAATAGAAAATTTATTCTACATGTCTTTTAAAGTGTCTTTCTCTTAAGAACAGAATACCACTCTAGGGAGAAATGATCTGAGACCATCAGCACTGGGTGGATTCTGGGGAACCAGGTCAGCATTTCTTACATCTCCTGAATGTGGACTGTTACCTGTCTGCAGACAAAGAGAACTGTCTGTGAATTTAATGCTGAGGAAAGCAGATTATTTAAAAAAAAAAACACACACACAAAAAAAACCCAAGTATTAGGCAAGGACAGGACCATTTAAGTACCGCAGGGCAGAAACAAGAGTTTGAGGGAGAAGGGACCTAAACAATAGTTCCCCAGGGGCTGACCTGGCCAGAGAGGAGAAAGAATTGGCCCAAGGCCACTCAGAAAGCCCCCCAGCTCTGTCTTGCACTGGGAGCCCAAGGAGGAATAGCAATGGCCACTTTACTGTCAACTGGGACTACACAGAGCTGCACATGGTCTTTGTTTCCCAGCCAGGAGACTTCCTGCCCCATTTTCAACAAGCCATTGAATCTCCTGGACTTGAGTACATCTACCTGGAATATGTTGGAGAGGTAGGGAATAACACAATATTAGACACTTCTTAAGGCCTGGAAAAAGCTTCACCCAACCCTGAGGTTTCCATCTTGAAGCCGAAGTCATCCACTGACTTAGGCATTTAGCCTGTACTTGGTCTCCAGGTCCAGGCCAGAATTCCTCCCCAGAAGCCTGAAGCCCAGGGTAAGCCACGTTCCTGTGGACTCACCAGCCACAGGCTTACTCACCCTGAACTCTCCACTGCCCTCTCCAGGCAGAGTAGACATGAGTGGCTCTCCAAAACCTCATGGGTGGGTCATGTCCGCATTAAGGCAAAGTGGGCTAGCAGAGCAGGGTGCTTTGCTGGACATTCCTGTATACTAACGTTTTGGTTTATTTCTATTTGATTTTTAAAAATTACACAGAGAAGGTGGGCAATTATGGCACCCAGATATGGTTGTACTGCAATGTTAATGAAGTTTAAGTTTCTAAGTCCCTGGCAATTCATAATTTTCTATTCCTTTTCTTAAAGCAGGACTTTTCCAGTTGTTTGTGTGTTAGACCCACAAAACCTGGGTCTGCCTCTGATTGTGCAATAATCTTTTCAGAGCTTAAGTCTCCAAAGGGCTCAGCTGTTCTGGGTGGCAGCTCCTTTAGGATCCTAGACTGGGCCTCACACAAAACCAGGATCCCTGGTGTTCTGTCCTGATTACTCCCGAGTTCCTGCAAGGAGCTCCTGCTCTTCCAGTAGCCTCACCTCTTCTTCCTCTCCATTCAAACAATCCACCTGGCACAGGACACCTGGGAACACCCAATGAGAAACCCTCTCCCCAGTTCCCAGTTCCCCTGGGACAAAGAGGCCAGCCTGCAAATCACTGTATGAGCAGGCACCTAAGTACCAAAGAGGGCAGCAGGCTTATCAAAACTTCCTCTCTCTCCAGGGTTGGTGTCTCCAAGCACTTAATAAACCAGCGCAGGATGTGAATTTCTACCCTGGTCTATCTGAACACCAGCAAAATGCGAAATACTGCTCCCCAAGAGGAAATTGAGGCCCCAGGCAGCGAGATCCACCGTTGTGCAGAAGGATCCTTTGCCCCCCATCCTTGAGAATTGGGGTCCCACTTTCTCTACCCGCCAGGGCCCTGGGACGCCAGAAGACTCACCAAACTCGCAGGGGCCGTCGCGTGCCTTATGAAGGTGGCTGGAGTGCGCGCGGAGCGCGTGCCTGGCGCGCAAACGAAGCGCACATACACTGGGGTAGGAGCGGCCGTCGGAGCCACAGACGGGACCGCGCTGAGCACACACGCAGAGCCCGGTGCCCTCGGGCGCCGCCCCTGCGGCCCGGCTGGCGCACACCAGGCCGGGGCCGCAGCGCGCGCCTGCCCGCCCCCCGCAGCTGGCGCCCTCCGCGCCCAGGCAGCGCGCGCAGCAGCCGCACTCGTCGCGCGCAACGATCCCAGGCTCAGGGCAGCGCACGGGCGCGGGGCAGTTCTCTGAGCGGCACGGACTGCACTCCGGGTGCCGACCGCCCGCGTCCCGGAGCCCGAGGCTGGGGACCAGCGGCGGCAGCATAAGCAGCAGCGGGAGTAGCGGCGACAAGCGCAGCATGGCCTGCTCCGAGACGGCAGTGGCGCTTCTGCTTCGCGCTCCGCTTCGTGTGTGCGGCGCAGCCACCCCGCCCGCCCCGCGGCCGCTGATTGGCCGGGTCTGCACCGCGGGGTGTCAGCCGGCTGCAGCCCAGACCCCGGGCACCAGCAGCGCTGTGGCCTCGCCGGCTGCCCGGGTCTCGGAGCCAAAGGGATATTGCAAGACCAGCTTTCCGACATCCGATTAGACTTTCAGGGAAACCAAGACCCAGTCCGAGTGGGAACTTTCCTGAGGTTGCTGGGGTGGAATCGGCATTGGATGCCCCGGCTTCAGCTGCAATGCTGGCTCCAAATATTATATTACAGGAGGACGCGCTCTTTTATTTTACGTTCAGTATATTTTCAGAATTTTATTTTTAAAAGGGAGTATGTGGTTGAATTTTTCAGATTTTACAAAAAGACGAACGATGAAAACAGGGATTCTCTCTTATCCTGAATCCCACCCCTTATTCTGGTTTATAAAGGCCAGTCTTGCTATCAGTTTCTTGGATATATAATGTTTTGTGTCTATTAAAACACTTATGATTTATAAGCTCTCTCCTTTAAAATATTTCACAGTTTCCCCACCGTGTATCATCTCTGAAATCCAGCCTCTTGTACAATTGATGGCATGGTTTAATTGGTGGTGTATGTTTCTTAATGCTACATAAATCCATGACGTATCTTATGGTCATCGGTGACTTCGTTTAGATGAGCTCCAGTGATATATTCTGGAGTTCAAGCGAAAGTAGCCTTTGGGCAGTTAAATTTTGCAGTGTTTGGTTGCACACAATCGGAGTTATTGAAACCGGTTGTTTTCTGTTCTTTTGTTACAGCAAACAATGTTCCAATGAAGTCCTGGTGCACAAGTGTCAGGGTGCCTGAGGTCCCCTGGGGAAAGCATGTTGGAGAGATGCAGGTTCTTGCCGTCAGTTATTCCTGCTGCCCCTAAACCTACTCTGATCTGGGCTCTGTGCACCCCCTCTGGCCTTAAGGAAGTCTTGGTTGCTGGAATTTGAGGAGCAGCCAAGTTAAGATGCTGACCAGAGGGAGGAACTTGCTGGCCAGGCTTTCTGGGAAACTTTTCCTGTCCTCACTTGCTACCTCATATTTGCCCTGGGCTGCCTTTTTGTTTGTCTTTTCCTTTCTTTCCTTTGCTGAGCTCCTAGAGTGGAGAAAGCCTCTGGTGCCTGGGAAGACCAGCTATAACACTGTTGGGTGGTGTCCATTTTGCTTCCCAAGCCCAGTTCTTTCCGGGTTTGCACTTTTCCAGGGAGTGTCCATATTCTCAGAAAGGAGCTCCTTTGGAGGACACTTTTTGTGGTAGGCAGAGCAAAGCCACCTGGCCAGTCCGACTCTAGTTCTTACTTTATAATCAGCCACCTAGAGTAGAGATGGTCAGGGGCCACAGGAGTGGGAGGAAGCAGTGGTGAGGAATAAAGGTGACCATGTTGCTTAAGTGCCCGGCTCACCTCTCAGTACTTACTAGTGGTTACTTTCCGTCGCTGTCTTTACCTGGAATGGCCTTTTAACCGGTTCACACCCCTTGACTTTCTGTGCCCGTCTGTGAGTCTCTCCTTGGGAGATATTCATTCTGGGTGAAGATTTCCTCCTGGAGTTGGTCACTACAGCAAAAGCTGGAGCCAGGTGCGGTGATGCACGCCTGTAATCCCAGGAGTTTGGGAGACTGAGGCAGGAGGATGACGAGTTCAAAGCCAGCCTCAGCATCAGTGAGGCGCTAAGCAACTCAGTGAGACCCTGTCTCTAAATAAAATACAAAATAGGGTTGGGGTTGTGGCTCAGTGGTCAAGTCCCCCTGAGTTCAATCCCTGGTACCCCCCCCCCCCCCCCCCCCCCGCCAAAAAAAGTTGAAACAACCTACACGCCCACTGGCAGGCAATGATTAAATAAACTATGGATTATGCAGGCATTAAGGAAGGAGAGGAAGGAGATGTGGTTAGTGGTTAGTTGGAATAAAAAGATGTTTATAGTATATCGTTTAGTGAAATGGCAATTGTAATGTGTACATCTAGTGTGGTAGCATATTTTTACATATGTGAGTGTGTTTGTATGCAAAGAATTTTAAGATGGTTTAATGATGTAACGGAAACACTTATAATGTTAGTGGAACAGAGCAGGACTGGGAAACAAAAAGATAAATCCTACGCTGTATTTCAGGGACATCCTACCTGCTATGTTCAAACTTGAAAATGATTCCTGATTGTCCTAAGAGAAAATAGGTGGCTCCATAGGTAGTGAACTCCCTGTCAATGGAAAAGTTCAAGGATGTCTTAGCTAGAAGCATGGAAAGGGGGTCAAACCCTTAGGAGCTGAGCGAGATGATTTTTAATCTCCTCAAACTAAACTACCATTCCCATAGTACAAAGCCTGACCAGACAGAAACAGACCAGACAGAATGTGGCAAATGCAAAGAGCAATGATTGGCCCCCTTTTTATGCAAATATTGAGGGAGCAGTAACTGAATGATGTTATTATTAAGAAATTAATGTATGCTTAATGTGAGTTGGAATATACAATCCCACAGCGGTACATTTACATACCATCTACATTCCTTTTAAATGGTAGGGAGAACATTATGTTTGCATAATGGCGCTGAGAATTAAAGCAAGACTCATTTTCCAACACTAAGCCTGGGGCATCAAAGTCTGAGTATCTGGGTGGAGAAAACATTCCAAAGCTTTGAAGGCAGATCTGCAGTGTCTGGTTTCTTTTTTAAATCACCCACAAACCTATTGCCATCAGATAGTTCTTTCCCTCCCTGAATCCCAAGGTACCTATTAACACTGTGGGCCACACCTGCCAAGCCCTGCAGGATGATGGGAAACAGAAGGGACAATTCTCCCAGCAGGGAAGTGGGTTGAGGTGCCCTATTGTCTGGCAGGTGGTAAGATCCCAGGCATGGGGGCGGGACAGGGGTGGGGGGTGGAGGCTACTCTGCATGGATGGTGTGACTTACACCTCTTCTGCTTATGGCCTGGATACAAAGGACCCAGGGAAAACTAGTTAAAGCCCCACTTAGAGTGGATGCGTGCACACCCTGTAGCTTCTGAAGCAAAAGCGAATGTCTCCATTCATTTCTCCAGTTTTGCATGGTGAGAAATGGCGGGAGCCTTTTATCCCTGTCCTTGGGGAGCTTCCAAGAGGAAGAGGACAGGAGTTCAAGTGAGCGGCCTCTCCATGAACAGGCCATGCATTTGAATCTTAAGCTGAACAGACAGGCCACTCAGAAGGCCCTGCTCCAGGCTGAGAGGCCATAAAAATCCACGTCTTCAGACCTCCCATGGGCCACTCCAGAGCAGGGGGAGAGGTGTGTTTCCAGCGGAAAGGCCCCTGAGTGATGGGCAGGGATTGTCAAGGTACAGATTTTGCTTCCATGCAGTGTACAGGGGACATGGCAAGAGGCAGATGGGGAAGACAGGAATTCAGCTGCTGAGCAGCCAAAAAAGAATGACAGGGGACTTTCCCTCCTGCATTAACAACTGTGAAATTTGGACAAAATGAATAAATCTACGTGGGCAGGCACTGGACAGTCTTCTGACACAGGGCAGTGGTCCCTGAGAGGGAGGATGGGGCCACATTTCCTTGGGGTCACCCCTGGGGATGCCTTCTAGGCCACAGTGCAGGGAGGTGGGCAAGTGGTCCTCAGGGTTTGGCTTTACAGGGGCATCAGAGTTTTGGCTGGGGAACTGAGATTTGGGGGGTGTAAGACACAAAAGAGGGAGGAGCCATGGAGAGGCGGCACCAGAAGCTTAGACCTTCGCTATCTCTGTATTGCACAAGTACCGGGTGACCTGGTAGGGAGTGGCTACAGGGTCTGAGAGCTTCTGGGGCTCAGGTCCACTCCAAATGGGCTGCCCCAGCCCCACAGGGTCCCTACTTCAAGTTCAAAAACACTCCCATAGGCCAAGTAGCAGACTCCTGCAAAGGTGTTTCAGCCCCAAGGTCCCCTCCTGTGGGCTTCCAAGTTTTAAAAATTCCAACTTTCCCTTTGTTCTAATCTTAGTGGTGGTGACTGTCTCTGCAGTTGCTTACTAAGTTAATACTTTTTTATATTAAGCTCTGCGTGTTCCCTAACTAGGCCCTGAATGACATCTCAATGCCTACCAGAAGTGGTCCTGGGAAAGCACCCTCAAACATGAGTCACAGTCAAATAACTGCAGAGCTCATCTAGAAATAAGCTCCAATGGTAGTGTAAGTTATTTATTTAAAAAATATAAGAATTATGTTTCTTGTAGCTGCAGGTCAGTATTCCTGAAAATGACAAATACAATTTAAGTATGTGGGCTGCATGATTATAGCATAAGTTGAATTTACAGCCTTGCCAATCTGTTGGGACACTGATTAATGTTACAGAGTGAGATCCACCTAAGTGACCATGGGGGTCTGCATCCACTGGTTCTTGCAATCTTGCATGAAGAATTCAAGTGAGTCACACATAGGAACAGGCAGGAGTTCATTAGAAGAGAAAGGAAAAGGGATCCCCTCAAGGGAGAAAGAGAGTGCATCCTCTCAGAGAATAGAGGGACAGTGTGCCTCTCCTGCCCTTCTGTTTCATCGGAGGTCCCAGGGAGTTTCCAAGAGTCCCACTCAGGTCCACCTCTCCACTTTTGACTGACAGCAGGATTGCGTCAGACTTTCGAGTCCTCACTGTGCATGGTGGCGGGGTGATTTTTACTATTTTAATGACATGCTAAAGATCCAAGACCCCTCTGGGTTACTTTGTCCCATGCTGACCAGTTCTAATTGGGACTTATCCTTACAGATTTTGTGGTTGGGGGACTTTGCTTCTAGTTATCTGGTCTCCTTGAGTCTTGGAATCTAGTCTGTGTAAAGGTCACAAAAGTCCACCCCCTTCAGGGTAACTTGTATTCTTCTTGTTGGTACAGAAAAGTCTTTGAGTCCACATTTCTCCTACAGAGAATATGTTGTTTGCTGAGGAATGTAACATATTTTAATGACTTA